CGTGCTGTACCGGTAGACAAATAACATTTATCATTCGTGTATCGAATAGTTTCTCTCGAAAAGTTCAGGTCAACCGTCTCTTACTAGGACCGTATCGAAACACCTTTTAGAACGAATATCTTGTCATAACAGACATTGAGAGGAGACACTTAACTTGTAGTGCCTAAAAATGACTTTACCGACAATAATAAAAATAACGCGTCAATGTCGTGTGACCTAATAACACAAAGATTGTGCCGAATCTGCGCCAGTGTGGCCGGAACAAAATCGCCGAAACGAGACTTGTAACTCGTCCGATGTCAGAGTTCGAAGTAGATCTGGATAATGGACATTCATTTCAGTTTGCAATTGGCCTCAACGTTTCGTGATTAGCCAAGTCCAAATGCAATACCAGAGATCGTTCAAGGACACCGAACAATTCCCTCTTTATCATTAACTATGATCAACCGACCAATGTGGTCATTAATGACCGTTAATCGAACTATAAAGCTTCGAGGGTGCTCCGAAATAAAGAATCGCCATGGTTATTAATCTTCAACGTCAGAAGTACCATCACCGTAATCCACTCTGCGAGTCTCCGCATTGTCTCAACGCTGAGACCATCTCGTCTGGATAGCGGTAAATTATTCCGTCGATCCCGGCACGCTAATAGAATAACAGACAAGAGGACCTCTGTGAATCCCTCGCGACAGGAAGTTTCGCCGCGGGGTGTCCAAGAGGGCGGCAAGAGTTCGCCTTCGCGTACACCCGGGGTCAGCCGCCATTTTTCCGCTGCTGGATAGTCACCGACGGGACACGTCATCTTTCTTTCGTCGCGCCTACATGGTACTCACCGACAGACAACTATTAATTAAAGAATAACTTGAACGTTTGTAAGAGATAGTAGATAATCTACTCTTCGCGTTTTTCAAGAGAATAATCTATCAACTGTGTCATTTTTCATCGAAAAACAACGGATTCGGTTCTACCATGATATATCGTTAATGATCGAGACTGGTGTATTAATCAAGGGACATTGGATGATGTATTGAGTATATCCTAGATATTAGGTTTGTTTGAATGAAGGTTAATAGAATTCAAAAGTGAATACCCACTAGTTTGGACTGTCAGTCCTTCACAAAATCAACAGGATACTCTGCATGCATAAACTGCCAGAAAATGTAAGAATGAAAATGAATTAAGGTTTTGTTTTACCAAAGCGACTCCTGAATTGAGTCATGCACACCACGGAACGCACTCTGTACATTTGATTGTACTCTTAGCAGTCACATATGGGTATCGTCCCCTCAAATATTCTACAGAAACGACCATCCACTCCACGGCCATTCCCACGTATACTTTACGATAACAGTACGCCGAACAGCGGGAAAGGAAGAAGCATCGGTCCAACATCTGTCCGCTATCTGTGCGTCTGACCAAGTATCGAAACATAAATTGGCCTGTTAGTCCAGATAAGGGACGAACTCAAATAAATGCTTATCCTTTATCCGAACACACTCGTCCTCCTCCGCCCCTATTTTTCCCCGTTCTGGATGGTTCTTCATACAGGGATTTCTGACGTGACGAGCTATATCGTGTTTACCGGTTTGGTGGTCGTCCACGGCTGCGAATCCGGCGCGTTTGATAACCGGCGGTAACCGCCAGTTTCCCGCGGATTTACGGTCCGTGGGGGGACGCGATCCCGTGTCCGTTTGCACACGAAAACACCGCGATCGAGACAGAAACGACATCCTAAATATAAACCACGACTGCCGTGGTTCGCGGGAAGATGTTATCGGGACCATCGGAACCGGAGGAACGAAAAAGTTCGGTGTAAGTGTCGTGCTCGAATGCCGTCGGTCTTTGATGTCCCCTGGGGTCTGTGGGTGGTAACCTGAGAGCTGCAGCTGCGAATTCTGAACACGAATACATTCTGTGCCGTTATTTAACAGGGATAACTTGACAGTTTTTAATTGTACGAACTTTAGTGGAGAGGAAGGCGAAGATGAATAGGTGGACGTTTGAAGTAGTAGATGAGACGAGAAAACGGATAGAACTTGTGAAGATCGTTTATAGAAAACTTCCACGTGATTGGAAATTCTAACTTCATTCTTTGCTACAATCTCAGCTAAAATAATTATCAACGATTAGAAGTACGTTGTGAAATCTTTGGACAGAGTTTATAGATTTTGTTCGGTAGAATGGAATTAGTTACAGCATCAGTTCCCAGACTGTTTAGACCCGTATTTTGTGAGCTTCACCGGATGTCTCAGAGCGATAATTCGACCCAATATTATTACGGTCCGTGGAGGATCCGTTATTTCAGACTCTTAAGCAATTTCACACACGCCAGAAAGGATCCTGGAATGCAGGATCGTCGGGAATTCGAAGATAGCCGCTAAATGAAATTATAGTAATTACCACGGGCAGCATAGCCGAACCAGAGTTTCTCCGCTTAGGATTGCGTCGGTATTACTAGGTTCGTGTCTACACAATGCTTTATCGTACGACCCGGTCTCCTCGAGGCTTTCCGTGATCCTCTAAACTACCCACTAAACGGCACATGGCCAATTTCTGCCCGATGAATCGGCACAAATTGTCTGGCATTTGCGGAAGAACATTGTTCCGTTGATCTGGACAAGTGATGATCGGCGCTTCCACGGAACTGGTTCCTAAACACGTGCCTACAGGCTCGTCTAGGAATTCTATTTGTGGGTTTATTGCCGGCGCGTAAACGTTCCGTCGACTTTAATCTCGGCCTAATAGGGCGGAATACTTGTCACGAAACTGGTAGAACGGGATCGATTCCGATTCCACTGACGAAACGGATAAAATGTGTATTCCACAGAATTGAATGCGTAACATTACTGACTTCGACATTAGACTACTATATTCTCGCAAGAATGTAACCGTGATAACAACACTTAATGTCATTAATTAACAGTGGTTTAATCGTTTATATCTTCTGTTGAATAGGGATCCCCTTTTCAGCCAGAAAAAAAGTAAGTTTTGTATAGCACCTAACTCTAGCGTGAACTTTCACCGTAGAACTTACACAATCGCTACGAATCCTGTTACAGCTATTAATAGCTATCATAAAGGCATGAATTAAAAAAGATTCTCACAGATGATGATCGTAGGTAAAACTCATAACTTGAATTACCATTTTTCTCTCCAACAATTCCTTTATCACGTATCCATTGATATTTGAGTCATTCTGTACGCTTCTCAATCGAAACTCGCGTGAAAAGGAACCCCGAGAGGCTAGAAGGATTAACCATACAAATTCTGTTCGCGAGTGTAAAATCCACACACTCATCGATCACCAAGCAATTTCGCGGGACGTCGAGTCGCTGCGACGAATGAAATTACACACTGCGCGCGTCGGCGGAAAAGAACGCGACGGCGGCGAGCGACGCGACGGTTAAATGCACATTTTTAGTTTTCCATTAGGTGCTCGTCTTGCGTGTCGTGCATCTCTGTTCGCCGAATTCGTAGCAACGTGTGCAAACTGCGCGCGTCTACCTTTATTGTTTTTCAACCCTCGCGTGGTTCCTTTCCTTTTCTTACCGTTGCATTTAACCCTTTCGTTCCCACTACAGCTATTAGTATCGTATTTTTTCATATCTCTGAGTGTGTAATAGTTTTTTCCTAGTCATGTATGGATGGTGCAACTCACTTTAACCCAGATAGCACATGACGCCTTGAAGACCTCCATTTTACTGCTATTTTAAGTCTAAGACGCCTTTAAGCCGTCTTCAAGGCGTTATTGGGCGTCATGTGCGATCTGAGAACACGCATTCAGAAGTTTATCAATAAAATAAAACATTATTGTCCCTTGTATCTTTGTAATTGTTAAATATCTTGGGAATGAAAGGGTTAAGCAAAACGGTCCAAGAAGTATCGAGATCACGCAGCCGATAAATATCGAAATTACGGCGCATTAGGCGCACGTAATATCCCCTCCTGTCCCGCCAAACGATTTTACGATCCACCAGATCGATCTGCCTCGGTTCTCCCGGTTCGGTAACTCGACTCTCGGCGGGGGACCAATAGTATCGCGGCCATAAACGGGAAACACGTCGAAACCGTGAAAAGAATTGTCGGGTCCCACCAGTGTATCCAGCCGAGACGAAACTCTCTTTCGTTTAACGACGTCCCGGATTGCTCTTAATCTTCGCGAAAAGTATGGTTCTCGCCGGTCTGCGGGTATCTTGTCTTTAATTAAACAGATTAATATGCGTTCAGATAGGGCTACCTCGTTCCCGTGATTTGCAGAACTCCTTCTTTTTTTCTCTCTCTCTATCTCTCTCGCCCCCCGTGGTATTCATTAATATTTTACCCTGGGATGATTGCACAATTACGCGTGCACCGATGTGGAAACGATACGTTGACTTGAATTTCTTTGATCGAGAGTGAAATTAAAACAAATCGGGGACAAGTCGAGAACTAAAATAATTTTTTATAAACAGCTGTTACTGTTCCTAATACATCACATGCGTATCTACGTAAGGAAACGTCTTGATCATGAATTATTGGCAACAAATATTTCTTTCGATCGTACCCTACCGACCAATAGTATGGGACCAGAGTTCATGTTTGATGGAACAGTAACTCATTACTAGACTACGGAAGTTTATGACAGTTCAGTTTCAGACACGAATATCTAAAAATTAAAATGGCATAGAATTTTGAATTTTTTACTAGAGGCTTTACTACCCACGTAATAACACATAAATAGTACACAACGTTATTAAAATCTTTCTTCCGTTTTCCAAGTTAAGGGATGCTACATATAAATGCATAAACATCCGCAGTCTAATAAAATCGTTTCCAATCAGTCTTATTATCTCATTCTATTAAATCTTCGTAGAATGTTTCCCCCGTTCATTAATTAGCAAATCCGGTTCCACATTCTTGCCCAGAAAATTAGCACAGTACATAAAACAACGAGTGATTCATATTTCACCATGCTGTCACAACCAAAAGGTGGTCGATAAACATGTATCAAACGTACTCACCACAGTGTCATCGGCGCAAACGGCGGTCCCGATGGTTAGAACAAGAACGAAGAGGGCCGCGGCGGCGTTCGGTCGTGGCAGCCGGGCGATCATGCCCGGTGAATCGTTGCCTCCCAGTGGGGGCAGCCAGCGCAGACAGTTCGACGACGTCGAGGACGTGCTCGACGACGAAGCGGGCCGGTGCTCCTGTCGCGGATGCATCGCTTCATGATGATCGCGACGTGCCGCGTGCTCGTCCCTCCGTGTGTACTCCCGTCGACGGAACACGCAAGCAGCTACGTTTTCTCGTTTCCACCAGCAGCCTCGTCTCTCCGTCCGTTCCTCTTCGTTACACGAGTGTGTTCCCTTCAGCCCCCGTGGCTGAAGATTCTATGTGCGTGAACTCGCGTACCGACACACACACACCGGGGCTCTATAAATACGGCCGCGACTCGCGCGCGAAGAATTTCAAACAACCGCGCGCCGTAAAACACCATGAGTGGAAGAACTTGGCCTCGAGTAGAGGCTAAACTCGCTCCCCCCGGTGTGACGATGGTAGAGCATCATCCACGAAGACGACGACAGCTACGGGCGTTTTAACGCGATCCCTCGAGGACTTGGTTTCCTGGATTTCCCTTCGGGTTACAAACGCTGAAACCATCGATCAGAATCAGAACTGTTATTTAACCCTTTTTCCGGATGCCTGCGGTCCAAGCTCGCGTTCAATGGGGCTAATTTCGTGGGCCGGATAATCAACCGGTGGCGGCGGAGACTCTGCGGTGATGGACGCGTATCGGTGGTTCCGAGGGATCGGCTCGTCGCGCGTGACCCGTTGATGGACTTACGCGAACTTTGCGAAAGTAATTTCGTCGAGGTTGATTGTTATAGAGAGATTCTTTGGTCGGGTTTGATTGGTTTGAGTTTTAGGAAAAAAGGATTGACTAAATTTTTATGGGTAGACAATTTTTTACCTTGCTTCATACGGGTTAATTAAACCGAGGGGATACTATTTCTCGCGATGTGTTCGTTTACACGGTCGCCGAGGACCTTGATAAGCAATCAGGTACAGTTCCCTGCTAATTGCGCGAATGAGCCCGACAACTCGGAAATTGTTACGGATCAACGACAAGTAGAATGAGAATGCCACGACCACTGTAATTCACTGGCATTTACTTTTCTTTTCCTTTTTTTCCCTTCCAGTTTCAATAGGTGATCCCGATGAGATAAATGTCAGGCTACTGACTTACGATAGCCTTGACTCAAGGCGGATACGAGATTAAACCGGGCAACGATTCCGTACAGAGACCGTAAAACCAGCGTGCAGAGACGATCGATAAGCGGTTGGAATCGATGAATCGGGCGGAAGTAGTCGGGTGTGTAGGATTACAGTAGGAGGATCGCGCGAGAAATGGTCGAGAGTGGGATATATGTACAGGTGGCGAGGCACGTTCCCTCGGAAAAAGGTACACCAGGATATTATATGAGCCTCCACGCAAAGTAGTATACGTTACGTTGCCGATTCTTTATGTAACACCGCGAAAGTGGATACGATTCACGGCTGGCGTGTCTCTCCTGTTTCATCGGGGAACGGACTATCGAGCCCTGGTCACGAGATATCGAACTCCGCTAAAGTTCCGTAATAAAACTTACCCCGTGCACTGTGTTCGTCCTCTTTCACAGCGTGACAAACAGCTTGAAGATACGCAGACACAACAATTTTTCAAGGTCGTGATGAGACAATGGTCTCAGTTATTTTTCTTGACGTTCACCACCTTAATTTCGCTGTGTAGTGTACAATGGACGGAGATCGAAAACTGGGCACCAGGTATTCGACAGGGAAACGTCAGCCACGCGATCGTTCCCTTCGACTGTCTAACGTCTCAGCGAGCTCTCAGCTCGAGAGAGCATGGAACGGTCCGTTCTCCAGTCGGAGAAATTGTTCAAGTACAGCGAGCCAACGGCGTGCCAGCGGACGATATTTTTAGTCCTCCCTGCTTCCACCATCTGTCTTCGAGTTTGGGTTTCCTGGTCGTTTTAGACGGGCGACGTCGCCCGCTCGAGACGGCGCGGTACGTTCGGCGGCACGGTGCGGACGGATCGGTACATATTACTGTAGACACTTCACGCCTTTCGTGGTACACTCCATTATTCTTCCTTGACGTTCAGTTAAACTGTCGTCTCTTCGACTAGCCGATGAAGAATCGGAGAAATTCTTGGTAATCGGTCACTCACGAATCATTTCAGTCACTTTCTTGCCCTTTTTGGTACAACGGAGAACACTGTACCCATTTTTCGTATTATGGAGTCTCTTTTTTTTTTCATTCGAGGATCGTTTGTTTCCCGTTCGTGGACAGAAACTTCCAGGAATTTCTATTTAGATCGTCGAGAAAGCTTATGATCAATTAACGAACCAGGAAGTCCGGCCTCGATCGCGAGTTTCGCCTGGCGGGCACGACTCTTCTAGCGGAGCTTCTCGAGCACACGCACGTGGCTCCGGGCCGACTGACGAGATACACGCGCGAGGAAGTATCAACGGAGGCTGAGAGGAGTGGCTACCAAGCGAAGCGGAAGTGGAGGGTGTTTCTGAGGTGGTGGGGTTGCATGTCTCTGATAGGGGGTACTGTCGTTCGATCCCTCTCGTCTGCGGACAGAGGAACGTACGCCCGGGGGACGAGGATGCCTTTTGTCCGAAGATGGTCCTTTCGACAGGGTTTTACGTTTTATCTCTAATAAGGAGAACGTTTGTCCTGACTGTTTGTGTTCCGAGGGCCCGACGATGAAACCGCGAGTGGACTGGCTGTTCTGTTCTTGTCGCTTCGACCGATCCTCGTTGTGTTATCGTTTTAGGAGTGTCTCCGACCGGAGGGAATAATTTTCCTCGCGAATGGTCACGTTCGCACTGGCTGTGTATTTTACTGTCGTTCTCGATTCGAACGATATAGGCCGCGTGAGCGCGGCTCTTCTGAAATTACAATGAGACTTGAGCACGACAAAAGTGGAAGTAACGTGACGCCGTGTCTAGAAATAGCAAAGATGATTCGATGACGATGTCGACCATAATCTTAAGCAAATCTTTCCGTTCAGAAAAATACACCGCGTTATCGATAAGCGCGACTTGGTTTCTTAATTGAACCTTGATATCGCGACGGTTTTTTTTTATCGGAGGCGGAATACGCGGAAACGAACGAAGCAGGGGATTTAGCGTGAAACCGATCGGTGGTCTTCGTGCCGCACGCTAACGTTTCACTCGTGGTAATCGACGAAGGGTGCCAGCTCGTCCGGTATATCAATTTTGCGCAACAAGATGATCCTTAAAGCGGCCACATAACACAGGGACCATCCCATTCTTCCCGACAGCGGAGAAAGGAAGGACAGGGTCGTTTGGAAGATTCGGTTAATGACACACGGCCGGATTCCCGTACCAAGGAGTATCTCTCTGCGGTCCCGGCCACGCCCAACTTCTCCAAGAAGATTACACGAAATTACCAGGATTTTTTCGAAAACAAGAATGAACCGCGGAGCGCGGCTCTTAAAAGGCCCCCGTGATTTTATAGCGGAAACCATGTTTTCTCTCGTAAGCGGCATTGATCCTGGCTCCGTTGGTCCTGATCGCTTATTTCCAGGAATTTCGTTATTCATATTGAAATAAATCTGTCGACCAGGACCAAGGGCGAGTAAACTCTCTACCTCCTCTGGGAACACTGCCGTCGTCTTACTTCTATTGAAAAATCAAGAATTAAAAAGCATCTACTGAACGGATTAATTTCCCCGTGATTCTTAATGTTATACGTACACCCCTTGTATTAAGTCTGGACACGCACACCTTGTGGTTCTTATCGTTTCATTTAAACAGTGCCACTCGATGGGCAGGGGGGCGGGGGAAGAAGAATCTCATGGTTTTCGAATTAATTCCCACGCGTACAACCACGAGACGAGATGGACGCGCGTCCCGATCGTAGCTTCGTGTCCTTTTAAGTTAAAGGGACGGTGAATGCCGCAAGGAACCTAAGGGACATCGCGTATAAATCAACGTCCGGCCCCGCGAGAGCGATAGAGAGAGGCAGACAGCAAAGAGACGCGAGCCGCAGACGGGGCAAGCTGGGGCTCTCCCAGCTACTTATGCTAATGCCGGCAAATCAATTTATTTATATTTATTTATAGCATTCAAATGTTTCCTCGGGACCCGGCCTGCGCCTCGTTCCGGTCACGGACCACCCGCAAAAGCGAATCGATTCAGCTGTGGGCCACGGGTTCGGTGGGGCCCCAGCTTGTAAGACTGACGCAGAAATCGGTACAATGCTCGGTTGGCGCGTTGCTTTGCGCGTCTTTGAACCCGATTTCGGCCACCAATCCTCGAAGAGCTATTCTTTGGGAGTTTTTCAGCGAATACTGTTGTTATTTAGTTTCATTCTTAGGTAATGAAATAGTGTTTCGTTTAATCCGCTGATCATTTTCGTCATGGAACCTTGAAAAAGAAATTAACGTGAGTTTTATGGCCACTTTGTTGCGGGTATTAGAATTCCATTTTAGAAATGGCGACGATAAAGGAGTAAGTTGAAAATTTATGTGAATGCCAGAGCGGATGATTTAACGTAAGGATCAAGTAAAAGTAAAAAGGTAAACCCAAAGAGTCTTCAAATATTTAAATGGCTATTTTAAGCCTGTAAAAAGGTTTCAGATTTTTTTTGCTTTTTTTAAAATGTTTGTGTTGTCACTGTAAGAAATTAAGAAATATTGGAAGAATGAAAGGCAACGAAATTTTTCAGTTTTTGAAATGTATATGACTTGAAGAACATAAAAGGAACTTGGTAAGAAATGAAAGTTTGAAATTGAAAATTCATAGTAGTGTATGTGTAGTAGTAAATGTGTTATCTTATTTTTCCAATGTTGTGTCTATCTAACTAAGATAAGAATAATCGCAGTTATTTTTGATTCGACGAGTTGCAAGATTATCGGGACGACAAAATTGTCACGTGCTAGTGATGTCATTTAAGTCGATCGTGCATCGTTTGTATTTTAATAGACTATGTAGTATCGTCTTTTATTTCGTGACTTCAATTGCAACTATCGAATTGTGGGTGCATATTATTGAATATCTTGCAGATCGGGCGCGGTCTCAAATCGGGACCAAGTCACGTGATCCGATCGAGGCCGAATGGAACCGAAGATCTCAGTAACGTAGGAAGAATGGTACCGCTTCAGTGTGCCCCCCGTACATATTTAACTGTTTGTAAATGTAACCGTAATTTCATACAATTTCCTTAGCAAACAATTGACCAGCCAAAATTCATCCACTAATTTACACAAGCAAACGTTGAACATCTCTTAAGATGTAGTTTAAGACATACATTTACAGACAAATTTTTTTGATTTATTATTTTAAGTCGATTAATTATATAAATAACTTAAGATCAATTTAACATTTAATTAGTGGTAATTTAAAAAGAAGTAAATAAAAGTTTGTTTTTAAACTGATGTGAAAAATATATATATATATACACCATTGGGTCAGCCCTGATGCGGTCCTTTCAGTGGCGTGTGGCGTGGTCAGTCGTAGGCGTGGGCAGTTGGAGTAATTAACGTTGCGTCTTGACAGAAGTTATTTTCAGTTCTCATTAAGTGATCGTTCACTCCTGGTAAAATGGCCCAGGAAGTCAGTATTCGTGTATTAATCACAGGCTTGTTTCTTCTCTTTTGTGTGCATCAAGGTAACTATCACTTCACTGCATCGATCGTTTATGCTTTAGATCTTAACCTTTAAATAGCATTTTCGAAGCCTTATTTCTTTAGAATGGTTTTTGTATATATTGTTTCATTAATGAATTCATAAATGATAGCCAACAGAGTTCACTTTAACTTATTAAACTTCTGTTTTTAAATAAACAATGTCTCATTGTACAAACCTTAAAATTATGGAGTCTGAAACAGTAAACAATGATTACCACTGGGCTTATACATTGTTACAGGTTTATCTATTAAGTGCTGGGTATGCAGATCAGATTCAGATCCAAAATGTGCAGATCCTTTTGACAATACAACTGTACCAATTACTGATTGCAAACAAGAGCCTGATCTAGAGCATATACCAGGTGTGAGGCCAACTATGTGTCGTAAGATTCGTCAAAAAGGTATGTGAATATTGTGAATACGTTACTTTTTAGGTAGTTCAGGTAATATTCAACAGGCATACTTATCCTATGGATTTTATCATTCTTAGTCAATGGGGTATGGAGGTACTTTCGTAGTTGCGCATACATGGGTGAACCAGGCATTCAGGGGGATGAGAGATTTTGTCTCATGAGAACTGGGACATACAACATATTTATGGAATATTGTACTTGCAATAGCAAGGATGGCTGCAATGCAGCTGCTTATAATCATGGCAGTTTAATTGTTTCTATAATAGCTGCTATAGTTTCACTACGATATGTACTTGTCTACACTTAACAAAGTTAACCAAAGGTTACCATTAGAACTGACAAACTGAACAGCAAATATTTTGAACATATATTTTTACAGTATAGAGATCCGTCCGTACTTACTAAGGAGACTTTCTTTGATAATTTTATGATCTGATCTTCAGGGAAGTAGAATTTGCAAATTAGATTGATATTGCAGGATGTTGCTTGAAATCAATTTTATATCTCTCAACATTTTTTGTTACGAATACGCAGAAGTGACTCTTTGTGCCTTGCTAGGAAAAATTAGAGATAAATAAGAGAATATTTATAAAAGATTTTTTAATAATTGTACCTTGTACTATACTACTTTTTATCTTTTTTAACGGTATTATATTTCCATATACTATTACTTTTTATAGAAGTATATTTTTATTAATATAAAAACGTATCCTTGTACCAGACTTACTTTTCGATCTAAAATGGCTTAGTACAAAAGATCGATGCTACAACATCATTTGTAGTTGATTGATGTTATGGACAATCACTTTATAGATAAGACTGTCAATACCGTCCGTTATGAACTTGTGAAGTTAGGAAATAGTGTAAAATTATGGCGCTTTTTATATTTTTATATGTACTTTCTGTGAGTGTTGTTAGTTATAAAACAGCACGACAATAAAGTACCGTTGAGTACAGAAACGCACCATTCCATTATGTGTTCTGTTACATGTGTATGAGAGTGATAAATAAAGATCTATTAAAAACAACGTGTATAAGAGTTAATATTATCCTTAGATATAGGAATAGGTGTATTTGATATAAAATATATATTTATTATACAGTTACGTGTGTTAATAACATCGTTAATACGTATGTTTTTGGTGTAATCGTTTAGATCTTACAAATATTCCTTGAATGATAATCAGTTCTACAAAATACTTATACACGTACTTACATCGATATAAATAATTCTTTACAGATTTTCCATTGATTAATTTATCGTAAAATAATGCGTGATATAGTACTTTTAATACATACATACTTATACACAGATTTCGTAAAAATTTTGGTCAAGCAATGAGCAAAGTTTATCGTTGCTAGTGTAAAATACTACATCAAAGTTACATACAAAACACTTCTTGTTTTTGCAAGTCGCATTAAAGATTTAGAGTTATTCACCTACAGCTAGTACAAAAGTAAAAATCGTTTCATTATTAGTCTTAATTTCGTCTGGCACAAGTTTAGCATAGTTTCGTTTTTCCATTTCGAGATGTCGACAGTAAAAACAGTAGAATTAACATTTTTACATAACGATTCATAAATTTCGCGTATCTTACGTCGACAGGCAATTATTTTATTGGACGGTACTATTATTCACATTCTTGGCAGAAAATTCCGTCCTTCTCCAAGGAATCGAGGACGGTTACACAGTCTAGATAATAAATATATACAAACATATGTGCGTATTCTCATACGTTCAATATACTTTAAAAAGTGATTAGTAATTCCGTGTAACAAAATCTGAGCAAAATTCCGCGACAGACAGTCATTCGCGCGGATCTTGTAAGAATTCTTTGGAATGGTACCATCGATCGTTTAATGGTACGTTCAAATATTTATAATACCCGCGCAGACCCAAGGTTGGTCTGCACGTGAAGAGAAATCGAATGAAAAATCGATGTTCATCGAATCAATGTTCTCATTCGAATGATTGCCATTTCGTTATCTGTTGCCCCGGTTTCGCCAGAGCTTGTTTCCATTGTTCGCCATAGGGTCCTCCTACGTCCGGTCCGATCACAAAATGACCGACGGTCGTTTTCTTTCCTGAAATCATGAGACGTTTATAAAATTGCCAGGCCCAATAATGATTCACAACGTATAAGCAATTCCTTTGTCTCTTACCCATCTTATTTTTCGAAACGAATTTAATTACGAAACTGACATCTTTTAACGCTCCCTGATAAGGATTGTCAGCGGCCACTCTCGCCATATCCGGCGCAAATTTCATCGATACGCACGGCGCGAAACGATCGCTCTTCCAGAAATGAGTGACTCTGCCGTTGTCCACCACCGACATCTTCAAATACATTTGCCCTTTGAGGGTCTCGTGCTCGTGCATCGTCTGCAAAGAGCATCTCAGACGATGCAGAGATAGAATTAGCTTCTCACTACCTTCCTCCCTCTTGTCGGTCTTTTCTTGGCACAGGGACAGTTCGAGCTGACCCTTCTTGTTTTCCCTCTGTAAACGAGTAACATGAAAATGATTAAAAACAATACATTCTCTTACAATGTAATTATATTGTCTTTGTCTCCTCAATAAGGTTATGGAATGTCCCTCCACCTCTATGTATTCCGAAGAACTCCTACTTGAATGAATTTTTCCTGTATATCTAATTGCTTCCTGGTAACAGTTCTAATAATATTTTCAGACGAACATTTATTCGAACTGTTTTGTCCCCCGAATGATTTTGATACATGTATCTCTAGAATTGAATTGAAAATGAGTTTGATTGCATTGAAGAGGTGGAAGGGATTAGTTGGAATCTTTTTGAAGAATGGTTTTGAACTTCCTGAATAGAGGAACGTCTGGTTACGAATATTTACCCTCTCTTCCGCTCCAGAAATGCCACTCGCGATAGGCCGCAATGGCCGCCACATGTCGCCTGTGGACACGTCGCTGGGGTGCTTTGGTTTCGGTGGTTTCGAGGTGAAGTTCTTCGGGTCTAGGGAAATCGTGGTGGCGCCAACGGTGCGTCTTTTCTCGTACATTTTTCTCTCGCTTACCGTGGTTTCGGCGACTTTGTCGGATCCTTTGCCGAAAAATTGGCTGAACAGTTTGTTCTTCGTTGATTCTTGGTTCTCCGACGAAGCACCCTGGCCATCCTTTTTCTTGCCCGCTTTCTTCGGCGATTCTGTCTTCTCCTTGTCGGCTTCTTTCTTCTCGGTAGCTATCAGAGGTTTATCCTCGAGAATGGCGTACAGAGTGGCCACGATGAATCTGGATCCGTTGATCTCCTCCTCTACGACTTTCGACTTGCCGAATTTCACCTTTGTCTCTTTGCGCAGAGGGAATGTGAATTCCTCGTTCCATTGCGGCCAGGACTCGTTCTTCGACGTGGTCTCGAACTTCTCCTTTCCCGGTATCAGCTTCACCTGTAATAGAACCGGGTTACTTTCTTTCCTGGTAATGAATTCCTGAATGAACAGTTAATTGTAAAGTAAGGAATCTTTCGTTGTTTGTTTTACAATTTCTTGTCTAAATGGAATCCCTCTTGTTAATACATTTTGGGCGTGTCCACGAGATATTTCCTTATTTAGAGTCTGACCATCACGAATGAGTCATGATCCACTCCTTTGCGTTCTTTCCAATTCACAGGGTGTCCGAATGCAAACATGCGCTTCTTTCGTAATTTACTATTCAAGATCATTCAAGCGAGAGTTCTTTGTTTCTTACTGCTACGCACAGCGTACATCATTAAATCACTATGCAATCTTTTTACATCATTTCGAATTGACGTCTTTAGAATTAATTTGTCAAATGTCGACAGCGAATTAAGTCAGAGGTGCGTCAACGTTAAACATTATTCATTTACGTCCAATTTCTCTTCGGCAATCCTAAAACCATAAGGATAATTCCGACACTGGTAGATCAATCTAATTTTAATCGCCGTAATTAGTTCTACGAGTCTCCCGTCAGATAATCGTGTTCATCGCGCGCGGTTCCCACACGCGGGCGCGTCCATCGTCCGCAAAGATTCGTCGGTCAGACACAGAGGCTAAAGTGGTGCCTTCGCGCGTTCATTCCGTACCGTGTTACGCAATACAAGATAACAACGTGAAATATTACATAGACCTAGACTCCCCGTATTATCTACCTTGACGACGTAGCTGTTGACTCTAGTGAAGCCGAAATTCTGCGGCAAGTGACGAGCCCCGAGTACCGTCACATTCAACGTCTTCTCGTCGTTCGAATGAACGATCCTAATGCCCACTTCCGGTTCCAAATTCACGGTACGATCCAACGGCGTGGACACCGTTTTCAAGCCCGTGTCGATGAAACTCTTGATCTTCGCTAACGCCATTCTCGCGACTGACTCGTTTTTCGGATTACTTCTCGACAGCGACTGCGTGCTTCACTTATCGTTCACGAACGATCTTTCAGATAGTGACGGATATATCATATTATACAGGCTGCACGGTGGTGCTCACTGTGAACAAAGAAAAACAAAGTAGTTTCCAGGGCATTTGTCGACATTGCGGGAAGTTATGAAAGGAGTATCACGATGTTTGAGTAGTCCAAAGTTTCTTTCTAGTATATCAAATTCGTCGAAAACTATTACTGCAGCATTTAGAATTATCGTCTTAATAGTTCTTACCGGAAAAGGAATAGGATAAATGAATCTATCGGCAATGTGACCTCAGAGATACTAAAATTCTAGTATATCAACTCGAAAAGGTATTGAAGCTAAACGATTTTAAACTACTAAGATTATGAAGCTTCGCTTTTATCTATATTTTACGATCACGATAAACTATTCGCGTCGTCGCGAACTAGGCTGAACTATTAATAAATCGCAAATGCAGTCCACGGGATTTCAGTTGTCCGCGTATTTTCGGCGCGAAACCTGCACCAGAGACATATTTCGAGCGTCTCCGAATCGCGTTACGCCGGTTATCACCGCGTGCGCGGTTAATCGATAAACAGTCGACCGTGTACATTCAGCTCGGTGTTTATAAGAATAAAGCCACAGTAACAAATTCTCGTTCACGAATCACGCAATGGGAAGCGATAATAGACGTAAGAGTTGGGAAAACGGTGCTCGACATGGACGGTTAACGGTAAATATCAATGGGGATCGTAATACTGCGAAGCCATCGCCGGTATATACCGGAGCGCATTAACCCAGGTATACCATTTCGTCTCTAACGGGCAGGTGATTACGGGGCCCCCGTTTGTCGGCATTGAACCGTTCCCCCCGACAAACACAGAGACGAATCCCGAACGTTCGAGGAAGTTTCTCATCGGAACTTTCTCTTGACCGCGACAGGAATGTCCGGTCGCGAGGCGTTGTCACCTGTTCCGATCGATCCTCTACCTTCGGCGTAGAAACAGCCGCTTGGAAACAAGACCAAAGTACACGTACCATAATAACGGCGGCGTTTTCGGGCCGGCTGCGCGGTAGATCAGAGGGGGAAACGGCTCTTCCTGCGCGCGGAGACGGGACGACGACGTCGACTGGCAACGACGGCCGGTTTTGCTTCGGAGCAACACGCCTATAGATGCTGGGGCGCGTCTAAATGGTTCACTTCGTGTATCCAAGAGACAGCGTCAGACCACCGTATCCATGGCCACCAGGCCGCGATTCGTAAACACGTAGTAGGAATTATTGGTTTGTTTTCCTTGTTCACGGTCTGCGAACAACTTCGACATGCGTCTCCCAGACGATCGCGTCAGATCTGTTGAGCATCGTGGACGACGATTTGCTTGACGAAAGAGAGACGTCGCCGTGTTCTCGCCGTACGCGCGGGAAACGATAAAATTTTCTCGGAAACCTGGACACGCGCGTGCTACGAATCCAACCGCGATCTGACGCGCGCACGATCGTCACCTCGAGCTTCGAACGACGCGCTGCCGTGGTATGCGACCCGCGCTCCAGCGTGGGTTCCCTTTATAAGAGCTCGACTCAACTGCATGCCAGGAGCGGATGCAACTTGGGGGCGCTGATCCGCGGGGCTCCCAGAAATGGAGTGAGTTTCGTTACTTTGAAGTTTCGTGGGAAATTCGGATCAAGAATTGCTTGATTGGATTTTGGAGAGGATATGTGAATAAGTAGGTGAGGAAATTTTTAATTGTCTCTAGTGATTGTGTGATTAAGTGTTTATAGTTGTGAGTGTAAGAAAATGTTTATTTGTATATTGTTTGAAATAGTTCGAGGTATATTGAAATAGTCTGTAGTTAGAATATATATAACTGGACGTGTTTTTGGAGCTTCATTTCGTACTGTATAATTTGGAGTACAGTTGTGTGTTCGTAAAAATGATTTATGCTGTAAATATAGCTACCTTTGGAATGTTCTCACTACTTTCTTGTTAAAGTGTTTACCAAGAAAACATGTACGTGTATTATCAATATTGTAATAAATGAAATAGGTAAATAAATAGTTTAATACAAGTTGTGACTTTGAGAGAATGAAAATCAGAATACGATAATCGTTATGACTTATTCAGTGGTCTAAAGATTGAAATTGTAATAAAATCTATAATTTATGAAATATATTATGGAACAGAAAAAAAAGGATCCACGCAGGTAATTACGCCACTGTCGCAAAAACTGGCCGTTCTAACCCGAAGTAGGGGCACCACTCGTACACTTCATCGTATAATCTTTATGGGCTCTGCTTGGATCCTGACGCCTGTTGCGCACGCAAGGTCGCGCATTCATGTGCCCATGGTTGTATACGATCATGTGCCTGTACGTACACACAATCTGCCAGCGAGTAAATACGCCGTAGTGAATGAGAGTGTTGGTCGCAGTAACGTCGCTACCGGAAAGTCGCCCTGTTCCTGTAGAACCACGAATTTATCCAAAACACGACGACAGATTTCACCTGAAAATTATGTAAAGCAGATGCTAAAGAAACATCAACAAAATAAAGAGTATATTATGTAACATCTAAGGCACACCGATATTTATTTATAATTTTCGTCGCTAATGGAATCACTGTAACAGAGAATAAAAGACTTTGCGGTCGAGATTGACGTCTTCTGATGCGCAGCAGATCTAATTGTAATGATTAACAATATCGAATAAGCAACAGAATGGAATGCAGCGCAGTGCATTGTCTTGCATAAAAAACGAATCAACGGAGCAGACATTTGCATAGACATGTCAGATTATTCGCAATGGGTAGATGCATCTTTCAGTTTGATCGGCGCAGTTTTCCTATTGATTTTCTCGAAATGGTATAAATCTGTGTTAGGCGTTACGTGACTTTGAGGAGAAAGAATCGGAGCGTTACACGTGGGCGCCAATCTATTACGACTTTTCGATTCCTTCTGTTTATATGATAGGATACAGTTGATTGTGATTGTAACAGATAATAATTGTTTACATTTTTATTTTTGTTTTCAATATTTTGTGATTGTTCGATTGAATGCTGATTTATTTAGATTATCTACAGCTCCACTCTTCTATTTTCCAATACGCACTTAGAATGTTGTTCCACGCATAACAAACTACAGTGATTGCACGTGATGATATGCAAGGATAGGTTTGATAGACAGTTTGACCTTCGTTGTTGAGCAACTTACTTTTGTTGTTATGCTTTAGAACTATCGAGGAAGTTCAACTATTCCTTGTTGCTTCTAAAATGTAGTACAATAACGCGCATATATCCATACGTTTTCTTTTTATATTCTGATAAGGCCTGCACAAAAGACAGGTTTCGTTTTGTATTTCCTGTTTAAAGTATTAAATATAACTACCCACAATACTACAAAAAAACCAAAAATAAATACATTAGTGCTTTTGTTGAAATTTTAAATTAATAGCAATTATGGATAGACTATTGTATGTAAATTATTATTTGAATTATTGTTTAATTAATATTATAAAAATCAATAAAATTGTGGTACCGCAGGTCTCGTCATTGTCCTCGAAGGATCTTCCACCGGTGGAGAATGTTTGCCTGGATGATCGGTAGATGGCGAAACGTGCATTTAAAACCCCCTTCCAACCCCAATAACGAGCCACCCTTCAGCGAACAGCTGTTCTGCACCGACATGGCGCACGCGACTCCGTCGTATCAAAAACGCTTTCGACCTTCTCGAGTTTACCGGTTCCGAGGAATGTTTACGCGGCCCGTGTCAACGCGTTTCGTCGCGAATTTCCGATGGTAGAACGGTCCTCGCGTATAATGTGTGCGGGAGAAATGTGCTCGTGTGTTGTGTCCAAGTGAGAACTTCCGAAGCTTTTTTTTTCATCCCCGCAGGCCTCACCGGTATTGCTGTCACATCGTAACAGGTAAGTGATATACTATTTTCTATTGTTTTTATTTATCTACGACCTTAATTGTCTATACACCAGTCGATTGTTTATGAATTTTGTCACACATCTCCGTGAATGAAATGTCCAACAAAATGGTATATGAAAAATGACATCCCGCATTGTACACTTTGATCAAAATGTAAGCAGAATTAGGTTTCCAACTGGCTTGTAATGAATTGTGTGATGTGTGCAAGTTTTACTATTGAAATTTAAAAGAAACATGAATTCCTGCAGTTGTTGACAGCGTCGTACGTAGTCATGTTTGACTTTATTGTCCCATGTTTTGTTTACGGACGTCCATAAATTTTGTGTGGAGAGAAATATTGTCGGTTCGTGGATAGCCCCTGCATCGTGACAGTCGTAAAGATCGATAGGTGTGTACCATGGACAACAAACTAGGTCTTTCGGTATATGTTTTGGTTCAAGAAAATAATTTTTTCGAAGGCATATGTACGAGAAAAGTAGCACTACCCTTAACGCTTTGGCCAATCTTGTATCACATATTCTTCAATTCTGACGTCAGGTGGCAGCACGTGGTTATAAGTTCGAATTAGTAGACCGTCGTTACCGCTAATTTTTCTTAATAACAATATTCATTACTGCACACGTTTTTCTATACCTGTTTTTTCGATTTTTCTAAAAATTACTAGTGGGTAATTTTTGTAATCGTAGGTTTCTCTCTTTATATTTCCTAACAGCGTAGTATGAGAAAGGATTGGATAAGAGGAAAACGTTTCTAAAAAACAAGTGCAGAATCGCGATCCGTGGTAATAATTTAAATCGTATTATGTCTGCTTTCTGTAGAATTTTTCATACACCGTCATCGAGAGCGAAGAAAAAAGTTTCTTTATATAACCCCTATTTCTTACTTCCTCAGGTACACACCACCTTATCCATACACTTTTCAGCCAGCATCGACCTTACTTATTTTCCTATCTATTTATTGTCTTGTCTAATAATCCGAAAAACTTTAATCACAATCGCATCTCTCCAGCAATCGGCGCCTGTCTTCCTCGTTTCACCCTTTGTAATTTAATGAACGTAATGCCCCTGTTTTCCTCCCTCCTCGCGTTCTCCGTAACCCTCCGAGTGCTTCGACGATGAATTTCTCGCGTTCGCCTTATTATGGTCTCCTTTGTGTAGCGCAATTTAAAAGTTCAACCCCTAACCCTCCTTCCTAGCCCACTTCTTCAGAGCGATGCTCCGCGTATTATGCCTCGATTCTCCAGCCTTGGGGAATCCCTGAAACTATCGGGGAAGTTTAAACGGTCGTTTTTCATCGGTCGGTGGGCGTGGCTGGCGCATGATTTAATTAGCCGTTAACCTTTCGCGGAGTTTCAACAACAGTAACGATACCCGCTGAAATTAAAATTGGCGGATACAAACTAAAAACTAGAAACGTAACTCACCTCACTTTTTACTCTGCATTAACCATTAACAAGTTGTGTAGGCTCGTCAGAATTAGAAATATATACGCTTTTTATTTCTCAAACGTGTCGGTATCGGTTCAAATTATAACTCATGCGAATGTGTCATAAGAAAATAAGTCTCGACGCATTTCAAATCCAGTAGTTTCAGCTAATACTAACAGAGGGGTTAGAAGATTTCAGATCCAGTCGTTCGTAGAATAAAACTCGTTCAAATAACGATATTACGGGTAACAATAGGGGGTCTAGTTGGAGCCGCATAACTCGAACATCCAGAGAAGTTGGAAAATTACACTGGAAAGTGTTTCAGCCGGGTGGTTCGCTTCAGGTCATTTTCCGCATTTATCGCGTGGCGCAGCCCGTCGGTTGTTACGGACCGTTCAGCTCCTCCTTTGATCGCAGGGTGGCCCTTCAAGTGCATTAAGCGCCGGTGAAAAATGATTTCGTTACACGAGACATGTTATTCAGCTGCGCGGACGGTAACGTTATTAGTTACACGCGGGAGTAGAAAGTTCGATAGGAAGGGGGTTGTATCGAGTAAGCGGGGTGAGAATACGAGGCTCCGATGAAACTTCGAAATACTCGCGGGGGCGTGTATTTAATTCGCGTGAAATTAAAAACGCCCGCCGTTTCGATCCCCTCGACAGAATGCTCTCGTTTAATTAACCGGCCTGTGGCAATTGGCCGGTCCAGCGAAATTTTTCCACCGCGAGAGGAACCGTTCGCCGATCGTGATATCCTATACGACGACGACGACGGAGATGCTCCATGAAAAATACGGACTCTGCTACTAGTTTGCCATTCTCTGTATTTATTAGTCGCGCGTACTCACAGGATATTTAGTTCCTCTTTGAATCCAGCAGCTCTTTAAGTGCATCATTACCTATTCCCTTTTGTGTCGACCGGGATTCACGTGGCAGCATCCGCGCGCAACTCTTCCCCACTCTCTCCACTGTGCACCCATCGTCTGAACAAAATGAATTGCAAACTACCTCGTGTTCCGCCTGTGACTTTCGCAGATTGTTTTCTTCTTGTCCCTTTTATTCTTGCTCCGTGCCTC